ATAACTATAAACAATCTTAACAGTATTCACAATGTCCACACAAATGGACATTAATTACTCAGTCAAGGCATATTGGATATTTACCAAGAAGTATTTCTGAACATTTAGGTGTTTTCAAATTTGTGCCCCTAAAACTTGGCTTGGATGGATAGTTTACTAGATAATTATTTCCACAGATCCATTATTTCCTTAGGGTAATTCTTAGAAGTAGAATGCATAGTATGAACTTTTTGAGGGATTCCATACAACTGGTCTTCCAGAGGGCATATATACGTTCATACCCCTCGTCATCCTGCTCTGCAGCAGCTGTAAATGATAGTCTTTTTTTATCTTTGCCAATCCGAAAGGTAGAAGACTCTCTCATTAGGTTGTTGGGATTTGTACTTATTTTACCCTAATGGTATTGAAGTTTTTATTATGTGTATTAAAAATTTATACATCCTGCTTTCTGTTAGTATTATTTTGTGCATTCACTATTTATCTCTAAGGCTGCTCACATTGTGATACTGGTACTCCCTTGTCTGTCATATGTGATGCAATTTCTGTCCTCATTTTTGATTATCCTTTAACTTGATTTGTTTGGGACATAGAAAACTTTACAATGATTAAGTTAAAAAATGCGCACCTCTTTATCTCTATAGATTCTATGATTTGAGTCATGCTTAGACTATCCTTCTTAAGTTTATATTTTCTATTAACTCACTTAAAATTTTTAATCCACCTGCAATAAATTTTGGAGTATAGTATGAGGTACAGACATATTTTTCCTCCCCAGTGAGAATTTAGTGATCTCTACAGTTTTTAATATAAGCACTCTTTTCCCTACCAATTTAACATGCCACCTTTATCTAAATATGCTAAGTACTTATGTATTCTTTCATCTTTTCTTAGACTTTTCATTCTGTTCCAATCATCTTGATATCTATTCTTGGGCAAGTACCACCAAGTTACTTTAACTATTGGAGCTTTACAGTGTATTTTAACACTTTAGTGGAGAGGCCTGACTTACTCCATTTTATTTTCTAACTTTTCTTGGCTTTTTATTCCTAGCAAGCTTTGCAATCATTTTATGAGGTTCTGTGGATTAGGTACATAGAATTATGTTACAGCTATAGATTATACTGGAGAGAATGAACACCTTCACAGTATTATTTCTCCTAATAGAGAGACGAGAAAATAAAACATTGTTCATTTTATTCAAGTATTCCTTGATGTCCCTGAGGTGGAGTAGTGCTCACCCATGGGTCCCAGAGGTCCTGGCATTGTGGTTATATTGGGGGCATTTGATTAGTTCTGACTGGTGAGCTGCATTGCAGAAACATTTGCCATTTATGATGAGAAGGAATTAAGAGTGCACAGCAGTCCTTTGCACTCTTTCTTTCTCTAAGGTGCTGACCATAGAGGTCACATATTGAGAATGATGGAGCCACATGACCGAGGCAGCCTGGATCTTTAAATTCCTGCCTGGAGGAGTCACCCAGCCTGCATTTTTAAGTGAGCAAGAAGTATGTCTTTTATGTCAAGCCATTTAGATTTATAGATTTATTTCTTACCACAGTATAGTCCCTTAGTCAAGGTTGCAAATGTTTCACTCAGTTTTTGTCTAAGTATTAATATCTATTGTTGTTATGATAGGGAAATCTCATTTTGATTTACCACTGTATTACTTCATACAAGGCAGCAGGCCCGCAGTAGGAGAGGAAAGGAACAGGTCCAGAGTAGGAACTTCACTGCTGGGCCTAAAAGCTTCTGGTCCTGACTGCAGCCCCAGCTCACCCTCAGCTGGGGCTCTAGGGCAAAGCTCCAGGGAAGTACTTCCCCCCGCAAACCCACTTCCTCAGTTTTAAGCTAGCTTTGTAGCTGCCCTGCCTTACTGGGCCCAGGAACTCAGTCCATGTGGAAGTGCACTTGAATGCTCCCAGCAGCCTCTGTGTCTGCGCCTGATACCCTCACTCCGATTCTTTGTTCTGGCTCACAGCCCCTCTCGCTCCAAGTTTGAGGAGGGAAGTATTGGTTGAATTTAGCTTAAGACCCCCTCCTCTTTCTCTCTACACGAATTTCACCTTTTATGTGTCATGAATCATAGATTGATGGGCCTTACCTAATAAAAGAATATGGGAGGTAGAATTAATTAAATGCACTGGTGCAAATCATCAAACTAGAGGTCCTTTCATAGATATTTTCAGGGAACTTGGAAAAGACTAAGTGAAAACGCAGATGTTGGTGGAGGGAACAAGTTATCTCCTTTTCTCTGCCCTCCACTATCCTCTGTATGTGGCAGTAGTGTTGCAAAGATTTATATTCCCACTGAAATTTGCCTTAGAAAATGGAAATGATTACAGCCAGTTTCAAAGAATATTTTTCCCTCCGTTGCATAAATCATGAATGCTAGCCAAAGCCCATTTTCATTTGATGTCCTCCTTTGTGTTCACGTTGTCCCTGGTTTTCAGACGCCCATTCATGGATGGTATCTTATCTATGGAAAAAGTTCTTCACTACTCTGGGGCAAAGTATGTTAAATATGAACATTTTTTAATAAAGCTCAACTACTCAATTTAAATAGCTATCAGATTATAACCTTTTAATATTTTTGGCATTCCAATTATGTTTTATGAAGCAATTATATGTACACTAGATGGTAGCTTGATTTGTCTTAAATGCCTTTACAAGGTTTAAAGTTGGCAGTCCTATGTTGGTTACTAAATTATTTTTGAAAATTTTTCTGGTCTATATAATCCCAAGCCCTATAAACCACAGGAATGTATCTTCAAATAGTTTTTCAGCAAGTGGAATATTTTCTGAGCCCTTGCATTTCTGGGAATGCCTGCCTGTCCTGCTTAAAGACAAATTGCTGGGGATAAAGTTCTTAGCTCATAACTTTTCCTCACCTCAAGACCCTGTGGATTCACTTGGCTCCAACTGTTGCAGAGGAAATGTCTGAGACCAACCCAAAGTTTTGCCTTTTTGTAAGTAAATTTTTACTCAACAGTTGCAAGACTTTTTTCCACTTACCATCCCTCCTCCCTCCTCAAGGCACTGTAGCACCATTTCCCTACGTGCATTCCACCGATAGAGGAGGTATGGTGGCTGATGGCCAAGGGGCCAGATTCCAGCATCACCTAAGTTCAAATCTTGTTCTACGTTTTACTAGTCACTGTATCCCTGAACAGTGTTATATGGGTTTAGTTGTGTACCCCAGCCCCCAAATACATTTTGAAGCCCTAACCCCTAGTACCTGTGAATGTGACATTAGTTGGAAATAGGGTCTCTGCAGATGTAACCAAATTAAGATGAGGTCTGTAGGGGGGTCCTAATCCAAGAAGTGGGGGTTTGAACACAGACGCACATAGAACACCTTAAGACAAGAGACACAGATGGCAGATAGCCAGGAGAAGACAGAGCAGAGGCTGGAGTTTTGCTGCCACAGGACAAGGAACAGAATGCCTAAGGCTAACAAAACCAAAAGGCAAGGAAGGATCCTTCCTGAGAGGCTTCAGAGGGAGCACAGCCCTGCACACACCTTGGTTTCAGACTTCCAGCCCCCATGACGGGGAGACAACACACAATTGTTGTTTTAAACCACCCAAGTTTATGATACTTTGTTACAGCAGCCCTAGAAAACTAATACAAACAGATTTCTCAAAGATTATGAGCTTCAATTACTTTATCTTAAATTGTGGATAATAATGTAAGAATGTTGAGGAAATGTGATGTTAAGACACAATGTGTAAATTCTGGCACATAAGAAGATCCTAATAGAATAGGCTGATTGTGTTAACATCATCATCCCTACCAACACCTTCCCTTGGTAGCCCTCTCTCCTGGGAATGCTGTCTTTCTCTGTATTCTTGACATTTTTACACAAAGGTTATGATTTTTGTAAAACAGTAAAATCATTTTTCTTCACTGTAGAGTCACGGGCCCACCCCCAAAGATTTTTTGATTCAGTAGGTTTTAGGAAGTATGAGTATTATTCAGAGTTGTCCATACATAAGCCCTCATTAAGCATTGAAAACACAATGCAATTTAAGTGGTAGACCTGGCATTAGTATTTCTGTTTTGTAAATATGGAAACTGAGGTCAGAAAATGTAAAATGAAGTAATTTTTTAGGCCAAACTTCAATAACTCCACTAGTTTGATGAAATGAAGCCCTAGACTAGCATGAAAAATGCCAGATAATGAGGAGCCTATAACACATAAAACACGGGAGATGGTCCCATATTGGAATCAGATTTAAGTTCTGGTGTGGCACTTGCTTTCTAGCTATGTGAACTTGGGGAAATCATTTAGCCTTTTAAGGTCTCAAGCTCTTCATCTGGAAATGGGAACAATGCAGATCAGGTTCACATGAAAAATGCATAAAGCATTTCATATACAGTAAATGCTAAATACATAGCATTACTTTTACAAATATGCATTGATATTTATTTTAGGAAATAAGTATCTCCATTTTCTGCTACTATCTTAAAGGTACAATGTAGGATCTAAACATGAGAATTAGTAACTAATTTTAGAGAAGACATGATTTCCATGCCTTCCTGGTAGCTTATTAATTATTGCCGTGGGAATAACTTTTCTGGGGTCCTTCTTACTAATTCACTTTCATCAAGTCTCTTTGGGTCTTGGAATTCTGTTTTTATAATATTGGCAGGTTATTTACCAGAACATATAAGAAGCATTTCTGAGGGTCCCTAGTTGCTAAAGGAAAATGTGTGTCCGTGGGTACTCTTGATGGGTCATGATTTTCTCAATCGGGAGCACCTGATAGGGTTTGTTTCCTGCTGCACTCGGAACATTTCGTCCTGTTCTTCAGTAGGCTCCAAGATGCCCAGGAGGGAACAAAGGAAGGAATCTTTCCTGATGTGGGGAAGCAGGACATTTTGACATTATCAGACATTGGGTGCACAGTAAAGAGCAAGCAAAAAGTTATCTGCACAGAATTGCTTACTTCTGTGTTATTTAAACCATTGTGGGTTTATATCATAACAGAAACAGCCACCATATTCAAATTGTTTTTATTTTTGTTAAACATGACATGCCTTTCAGCTATCTGAAATGATTTCAGTTGTCTCTTCATATCATCTGACCTCCGCTTTGATGCCCCAGGTTGCTGGGTTCCAGTTCTACTTGTTGAACTTACCATCCAGGATGGGTTAAACAGAAACTAGATGGTAGATTGAGCAGAGCAATATGCTTCACAGCAATAAGCCTGCGGATAATGTTTCAGACTTCATGCAGTGGCTCAACAATTTCATCCAGAAACTGAGCTTTGTTTTCTCTGCTCTGCCTCTCTCAGCGTGCTTTCTTGTCCTCAAGCTTGCTACTTCATAGGTGCAAGATGGCTGCCTCAGTGCTAGGAATCACATTCTCAGCCCAGCTTCCTAAGAATAAAAGATAGGGAACGGCTGAAAGAGCACACCTCCCTCTGCATGCTGGGCTCTTTCAGCAGCAAACAAAATTATTCCCAGAAACCTTACCAGCAGGTTTCTCCTCTAACCAGAACTGGGCAACATGGCCACCCTGGCTGGAAGGAACTCTGGAAATTCGAGTTGAGATTACTCTGACTGACTTAAAGCAATCCGATTCACCTCCTGGAGCTGGGCATACTGCTTCCCTCAACAGAATCAGTCTGCTAGTTAAAGAAGAGAGAAGGCCATGGTAGGGAAGAGAATTTGCTATATATATGGTGTGTTTTCCAAATGCTTTTCTTTTCCTGCATCCCTGACCTGTACTTTTCACTCTTGGTACCCCAAAACTCATGAGTAGGAAGCTGAGATGGAAAGGCACAGCTGGCAGGTTACAGAACTGGAATCTCCGCCTGAGCGATCTTGGATTCTGATCCTATCCTGATGTTGTCAGTCACCTTGGAACGCTCAGAGATCTGAACAACTGATTCAAGCTACTCAAACTCGAAGGAGGCTGATTTGAAAGCTCTAAACTGTCCACAGAGAGTGGACCACCTATTCAAATCAGAGTTGGCAGTAGTCACCTGCACTGGCTCCAAACTGGCCCTTGTACATTGTGCCCATGTGCTGGAGCTGGGAGTCTGCAAGCCACACTCCTGCAGGCTCCCGACTGGCTCTTCCAAGAAAGGACAGCAGTGAGTGAGAAGGGCCAAATTTGCTATATATATGGTGTGTTTTCCAAATGCTTTTCTTTTCCTGCATCCCTGACCTGTACTTTTCACTCTTGGTACCCCAAAACTCATGAGTAGGAAGCTGAGATGGAAAGGCACAGCTGGCAGGTTACAGAACTGGAATCTCCGCCTGAGCGATCTTGGATTCTGATCCTATCCTGATGTTGTCAGTCACCTTGGAACCGCTCAGAGATCTGAACAACTGATTCAAGCTACTCAAACTCGAAGGAGGCTGATTTGAAAGCTCTAAACTGTCCACAGAGAGTGGACCACCTATTCAAATCAGAGTTGGCAGTAGTCACCTGCACTGGCTCCAAACTGGCCCTTGTACATTGTGCCCATGTGCTGGAGCTGGGAGTCTGCAAGCCACACTCCTGCAGGCTCCCGACTGGCTCTTCCAAGAAAGGACAGCAGTGAGTGAGAAGGGCCCTCCTCCCCCTACTTACCCTAGGTCTGTAGGCCAGTCCATGAGCCTCACTCTGCTTCCTCACTCCAGCAGCGGCAGTTGATCCCCGTGTGCAGCTTTCCTCACACGTCTGCTCAGCCAGGTGCCCCTCGGAGATCAGAGGCCCCGGAACACAGCGCCCTCATCCTCCAAGTTTCTAAAATGTAATACTACTGACCTCTTCCTTTTGATCCCCCAGCCAGGAAGGTGCTTCCTGCAGTTGCTGCCTCTCTGACACCTTAGAGCTCTCTTTTCACCTTTCCGATTACCTAGTTAACAACTTTGTTAGTGTTATCCTTATGCTAACTTCACTGCTCAAATATGCTGTGATTTCTCCTGGTGACCAGACCTGACTCAGGAGCATTGTCATGGAGAGAGAGCCAAAGGCAGGGTCTCTGCCTGCAACTTGCCTACTACTGAGCAGTTACCTTTACTAAGCCTCCAAAGGAGGATAAAGGCAGATCAAAGCCATGTTTATTATTACATAAAAGTCTGGACACATACACTTGGGGGGAAGCCCTAACTCTGGTAAGCAGAACTGGACCTGGTGGGACCTTGTCTGACTGAAAGTCTGGGTATCTACCTTTTTCCTGGGCCCCTTTCCCATCAGGAACATACCCAGGCCTGTCTTGTCAGCACCCACTCCCCAAATCATGGGATCAGGGAAGGAGCCATTAGGGAGATGGATAGAGGTGGGGAGTATGTTCCGAGAGGAAAATCTAAAGACCAGGGATCTCACGAGACCGACTCCAAAGAGATGATGTGAAGTTGAAATGTAGTATTTTAATCGCTTTGACCATCTTTCCAAAAGTTTGACTCTGAGCAGCATGCCCAGTAATATCCATGTTCCACATCATTTCATTAGTGAAGATGCTACAGGTAGAGCATGGGACAGGACAGACAGTATGAGATGAAAAAATGCTGACCTGGATATCTGGAGACAGAATCACTTAGAGTAAATTAACCTCTCTGGACCTCAGTTTCCAAATCTATGAAGTGAAAGTTGAGTTGCATGGATGTCTAAAGTCTATCTCTACAAATCCTACTAATCTACATTGATTAAAGGACAGAGCTTATATATGGAGTTTCCTAAAGAAACCTATCCAGGATAACTAAGTCTAATGAAGCAAGACAGTTGCAAACTAAGTCTGATTCACCTTAGAATATGTAAAAATTGTCAATACGAACATATTCCAATCTCTGAAATCATTCATGAGTTGGGCTGTGTGTGCATGTGCACACACATGTGCAAGGCTAGCATTTCCCAAGTTTTCATGGTATTTCACAAAATGGGTAGTGTTGAAAATGTTTGGAAAATAGGTTCAACAAAGTTGTGACATTTTAGGTGCTTACCTAAAATCCATTCCCTACTTACTCAGTTTTAACATGACTTTAATCTGATTTGGGACAGCAGTATGTTGATGTCCACAATGATCGACTCTGACTGACCTAAGCTAATCATAGCCTCCTTTGCATCTGTACGTGGCAAATATCAATGTATATAGCCATGGAACCCTCCTTTCTGGAAGCATCTCCAGAGATTAACTTTCTAGAGAGTATGCTTTGAGGCTATTGACCTAGACTAACTTAGTTAAAAATATTCGACAGATAATTGCACTTCCTGACCAATCAAGCTAGGATGTGTTCATTTTCAAAGCATTTTTCCCAGAAAACATTTACTCTGGTTTCTCTTAATAAATGAAAACCTATGCATTCATTCATAGGTTGCCCTATGCTGCTGAGATTTGCCCTATTCACATCTTGCCCCTATTTTCAGCAAGGATTTAAGCGAAGGAAAAATCTGTTGGCCAAGGAGGAACGTGTCTATTAAACTTCTTGTCTATCATAAGCCTAGAGAACTTGGGAACTTATATTTTCTGAGTATATGAAATACAACATCCATGTAATTGACCTTTTAGATATAGCTGTGATGTGAAGTTAAAAAAAAATAAAGGTTGGAATCCAGTTAATTCTCAGTTCTGGTACCAACACCACCTGCGGGGCTTTAAAAAGAAAATTACAAGTTCCTTCCATACAATCCACACCCCTTCTGATTTAATAAGTCTGGGAGTGGATTAGACATCTGTAATTTTTAAAGCCCTACAGGTGATTCTGACAGGCAGCCAAAGTTGAAATACTGTGCTTATAAACCACAGAAGCTCTGATACTTCAAGATGAGTAGGTGTACAAGGCCATATGGTAAGGTGAAAATTACATAGTAACAGGTAGCAAGGGATTTTGATCTTCGTTTTGGAATTCAGCATCTAGGTGACTTTGAGCAGATCATTTAAAACTCTTTGAGCCCTAAACATGTTACTCATAAAGATTTTTTATGGATATGAATAGTAAATGTTTATAAAAGCACTTGGAAATGCAAGGAGTTTGAAAACTTTTAACATAGCAATCAATGCTATTTTTCTCTTCCTGGGCTACCCTTTCCCCTCCTTGTATGCAGGAAAACCACTGTTCCTCAGTATGTTTAAAATATGGAGTTTAAATGTCTGAGGCCTTTCCTGACCCAGCAGAACTGTAATGCATCTGTGTTTCTGCAGTACTTTCTACATTACCCTTACCACACTGACGCCAAGGGCAACTCCTCTGACCCCCTTGGTCTAATGTAAGTTCCTACAGGATGAGGAGAGTCAATTTTTTTCAGCATCCTCAGCGCCCACTAATGTTAGCTGAGGTGAACCAAAACAACTATCCCCTTATCATAGCAGACAAACGGAAATGGCCCTTATAGAACCCAGTTACCTATTTCTCTCTTCTTTTCCAAAAGCTGGATCTCTTTTCTTCAGTGCTACTGGAACTCCAAAATTAAAAACAGGTGAAGGGAGCGCTGCCAAGATCTGCCCTAGTCATCACAACACTAACGATAATTTATTAGTGCATACTATACGTAGTAGGCGCCTGGTTAGCCATTGGACAGCCATTATTCAGTTCTCTCAACCATCCTGTAAGTTATATACTATCATTACTCCCATCGTACCGCCCGATAACTGAGGTTCAGAGAGGACTTACGTCACTGGCTCAGGCAGGTCAGAAGGCCAGGAGGTGGAGTCAGGACGCGACTGCCCATCTCACTCCAGAGCCGGTCTTAACCACTATTTGCACCTCCTTCATCTTCAGGTATTCTGAATCCGCTCCCTGGGGTGGTTCAGAGACAAGCAACCCCCAGCTCACGGGTCCTGCCGCCTGACAAGCATTGTAGCAAAACTATAACGGATCAGTTGGAAGGTGGAGGTATCATCCCCAGAACCATTTCCTTTGAGCGACTCTGACACCAAGAAAGATCCCTAATATAACTTTAAAATGCCCGCGCGCAGCCCGCAGTCAGGCCCTGCCCGTCCCACCAAGTCACTGTGCGCGGGCGAGAACGCCCAGAAAACTCAGCCATGCCTTCGGTTATATTGGCCGCACCGGTCTCCTCGCATTTCCCAAAAGGACCTCAGGCCTCCGGCCTTTGGCGTAGCACCGTCCCGCCCGCCTGGTCCCGAGCAGCAGCTCGACAACCCTACCGTTCCACGGCTCGCTCGCCGGAAGTGACGAGAAGGAAGTGTTCCCTTCCCACAGGGGGCGGGGAAGGAAGATGGCGGCGCCCAGCAGCCGGTGAGGAGAGAGGGCACGGGGCTGCAGGGGAGCGACCAGACTCGCGCGTTATGGCCTCATCCCCGCACACTCTCTCCTCACGCCTCCTGACAGGTACTGCACGCGCCCTCGGACACGACTTTGGGAAAATTCTCCTCTTTTTGTCACGTGTAACGCCGTGGTTCCGGCTGGCTGCAACCTTGGGAGCCCTTGGCGAGGTCGGCTGGGCGCCGGTGCGGGGGAGAGACCTCTGCAGTAGCCTGAAGCGGAGAGGCCACGGAGCGAGGGTCTAGTTTTGAAGTGTGGTCGCGGTGGTCCACACCACCTGCGTCCCCCTCCCCGGAGGGACGGTGCCTCGTGCTGCTTTGGGTTTTCATATCCTGGAGGCGGGAGGAGAGAGGACAGACGAGAACCTTGGGGCTCCACGAGCCTCTCGGCTTAGCAGAACCTCGGTTCTTTGCCTCTCGTAAATGACAAGGATAAGTTACCCTCATGAGGACAGGCAAGTGTTTTGCCGTCACTCGGAAGCCTCGTTCCAGTATAAGAGGGTCATGATGACAGCTGCAGAAAGCCTCCTGAAGTCTCCCGCAGACTTTCGGCTTTCTGCGGTCAGCGAGGCCCCTCATACAGTCCTCCGACTTGAAGGGCCTGTAACCACTGTATGTTGAAGGTGGAATGCGTTTCCCTGGCCCTTTGCTGGGCTTCAGTTCCAATAATGCTAACCATTTCAGAGAGGCCTACCCTGACGCCCTATCTAAAGCAGAGCTCCCTGCCCCCCTTCTCACATCACTGTTTCTTTCCTGATGGTTAGCACAGTCTGTACTTATTTATATGCCGGTTTATTATGTTTCTCCCAGTTGGAACTTAAACCTTGTGAGGCAAGGGACAGTTTTAGCCTGGTTCATCCACGTGTCCCCAGTTCTCCAAACTGGTGTGCATTGTTGTCTCTCAGTAATTATTTTTGAATGAATGAAATTTATCTTGTGGAGGTTTTGAAGAGGAGGCTGAGAACTGTTTTGCTCCCAGAGTTCAAGATGGTAACTAATGGCTCTTGGGAAATGTGTTGCTGGTGGTCCATACTGGAGATGAATAGGAGAAGCCAGGGACTCCCGTTTGGTCAAATCCCAGAATACTTTTCAGGTCTCAGCTGTCACAAGTTCTCTGCAACATCTGGCAATGTTGAGCACAGTGGCTCTATGAAATTCTTTTCTTTCTCTTTTCTCATAATGTTATTTTATGGGTCTCTTTTGGCCGTTTGATCTCAGGGTACATTATTTGTTTTCTGGATTGAGTTTACTCATCTATAAAATGAGGCATTTGAACTAGATGATCTCAAAGGTCCCTTCTGGTTCAAAAAGAGGGGAGGAGGGTGGGAAATGAGGGGGAGTACACATGAAACAAGATTGGCTATGGTTTGGTAATTGCTGACACTGGAGGAGAAGTAATGGGGGCTCTTTATAGTCTTTTGCTATTGTGTATGACTGAAGTTTTCCATATTGTATATAACTAAAAGGTCTGTGATTCTCATTGATTTTTTTTTTGTTACCTTTTATGGTTACTGACAGTGAGTGTTCTTTGATCCTAACCCTATCTCTCAATTCTTAGAGAGCTCATCCTTTTTCATTACTTGAATTACCACCTTTTATGGAGGTTATTCTACTGTGCATTCCTCATACTACCTTTTCTGCCTTTCAGTTCTGTATTTTTCAGTTCTCTATAGGACAGTTTTATTTGACTGCTCAGAATTCCCCAATTCTAGTAAGTGGACTGCATAAGGTTCATGTGGTTTTTTTTGCTGGATAAATCTTCTAATGCTTGTGTGGGAGGAATTAAGAGGCACTTCCTAAAGTTATGAACATAATTGCCAAAAAAATGCTAATAAGTAGTCTGTACAACCTAGTCTGACCCACTTGGAAGACCCGCTACAGGGGTTTGATATGGAGGCAGCATGGTGGGAAGCGGTGGCAAAAAGGTAAGCGAGAACTCTGCTGGATGTCCGGAGGTCATGTCTGGTTTTGCTCCTAAAAGTTAAGAGTATTTTATAGCCATTAAAACATTGCCAGGACCTTTCAGTTATATGTCTGCTCACTCATTATGAAAGCCCTGTAATCATGACTCATTGTTAATGGTGAATAATGGATATGGTCAAGTTTCCAGATTTTTTATGTATCTGTTGTTAAGCCCTGTGTATCTTCAAACCTATGTTCACTTACCTAGGGCTGAAATGTCTTTGTATTTCTAGGCACTTATTCATAGAAATTGATATGTTTGGACTAAATGAAGTGTTTTCATCATTTACAAGTACAGTTTCCTAGCTTATTTTTTTTGAATTACGATTCTGTAAAAACTTTAGTTTGACCTACTTAATCTTGAGAGGAGGTATTTTCCAAGATGGTTCTTTCCCTCTCAGCAAAATGCATTTGTCATCTGACAACGAATGACAAATGAACTCAAAACAGGTTTTGAAATGAAGGCCCCAGAACAATAAAACCTTGATGTCTTCTGAACATAATCTTTTAGTATTGAAAAACTGTTATTCCAAAAAACAATATCAAGGCCAAAAAGGAAAAATATACACCATAAAAAAAATCCAAAAACACACCTTGAATGTCAGAGGACTGATTTCACAGTCAATTTCAGTCAGAAGACTGATTTCATACTTCCTGTATGCATACATAGGCACCATGTATTCCCATAAGAGGAAAGCAGGCATTTCATAATTACCTGGGGTTTGAGGATGTGGGCTCAGGGAGGAACTGACTCATCTCCAGTTGAAGATCATTGCCGTACATTCCAAAGGGCAGTGATAGTTCTTCCCACAGTCTGGATAAGCTACGTGGGTGATCCAGTCCTCAGACATTTTATTATTATATGGAAAGTACCCTGGTAGCTGTTGCAGCAGAATTAGTAACGGAGAGTCCTTGACATCAAGGAACTAAAGAAGTATGACAGTAGAAACAATTTGCACTAAAAAGTTCCATAAAAAATAGCATAGAGTGACAAAGTAGTTGAAAAGAGATAGGTAGAAGGGGGAAAGCAAGATACTGCAAGCAAGGAGACAAGGGAACCAAGGTAAACCAATTGTGTAATATGCTTAGTGTAGGATAGTAAGACAACCTCGCTGCAGGGAATCTCTACATGTTTGGGTGAGTAAAATGTATTCTGGGCTTCAGGAAGAAAACCATTGGCTTTATGGAACTTGAGTTGGAGAAGAAAGGAAATTACCGAAGTTGGGATGGCTGGCTGGAATCCCTCAACAGTTACCAGAGTCCAAATATAAAATAAGGGTCAGTATCAGTAGGAATAGGAAGAAGTGGACAGATTTGACCTGCATTTCAGAGTTGACTGGACTTGATGGTTGTTAGGTGAGGAAGGAAGAGTCCAGTATGTTCCTGAGTTCTTAAGTAGATGCTGGCATTATCTGCAGTAGGGAGCAGAGTAGAGATAAGGGTGAGAATATAAAGTGTTTGTAAAGATACACTGCAACCCATACATGTGGAGATACTAAGAGAGAATGGAAATAGACATAATGAACCTAGAAATGAGTTGGAGATTGGATCTACTCTGTAACTGCATTTATTCAGAGACTGTGTAGTGTTTAGAACATGGAACACCAGTGCCTTAAAGTGGCAGACATGGCAAGAGTTGACACCGTAGGAAACTGAGAAGTGATGAACAGAAGGTGGCATAGAACCAGGGACCTTTAGCATCATGGAAGCCCTGGGAGTAGAGATTTTGTAAAGGTGGGAGAATCTGTAGTGTTGTACTGTTAAAGGCTTGACTGGGATGCGGCCATAATGAAAGCATTTTATTTGTTATTTGAGAGGTTTAGAGGCAGATTAAAAGCCAAATTTGGATATGAAAAAAATAGCTTCTTCCTTAGATTAAAAAGAGTCATACTTCATTGAGGACTGTTACCTTTTCCCTATTAGTTGTCTTACCTAACATGGCCAAAATATTAATGTGAAGTCTATCTTCCAGTTTACATTATTTATTGAGAAAAACTATTCTTATTTTCCATTTTAAAAGTGAGTAATCTGACCATTTTTTATTGTCTTCTTAAAAATATCTATAGTATGTCAACATTTAGTATAATATAAGCATAATGGCCCTGAAATGAAAAATTTCCATAGCCATGTGGGAGAATTACACTGACTTAGTGAGTAGAACTGATAAATTGTTTTTATTCACAAATCTCGATTAGACCATTCTAAAGTTCAGAGCCATCACACATGCATTTCTGACCACAGTGCCTGGCTTGCTGCCAGGTAAATGTGTTCACCATTTGGTGAGGAGCAGTCATCATCTGAACGTCTTTTCCTCTCTCGATCACAGGTCGGGTAGCAGGATGTGTCTGGTATCTAGAAAGGAGAGCCGTGCAGGAAGCCCCTCACAAGTTCGTGCATCTTTTCAGGAGCGTCAATAAGCAGTGGATTACATTTCAGCACTTCACCTTCCTCAAGCGCATGGTATGTTCAGACCATCCTTACTCTGATGCTGCCTGCCTTTACTTCCTCTGAATATGGGAGTCTCAGCAATTCCTGTTATAAGAAGAGTTGTAAGAAGTACATTTGAAAAGGACTTTTATTTAGTGTCCTTTTAAGTTTATCCAAAATTTTAACTCCTTGTTTCAATTCTTCTTAACTGAAAGCAGAATATTTCTGGTGTTTGAGGTTAAAAGTATGATCTAGAACTTACTGATTAAGTTTTAAGTTTGGAGACAGATTGAAAACTCCTGGCATATATCAGTGAGGCTAAAATTAGGAGAAGCTGAACTTTTATAATACACCTTTTAAAATTATCTTTAAAGTTGTGTGAATACATCAGTCATACAGATATAGTTGCTTCTGCAGTGTGACTCTTCTATTTTCTTATGTCAGCAGTGCCTTTAAAAGTCTTTCAAATACATGCATACTGAGTAGACTCAAACAAATGGAGTTTTTGTAATTTGCTAGGCATTTTACAGTGGACATCGATAATGTATCTTAATCTTGTAGGCCTTTATCGTGTTTGGTTCCATGGTACTGTGGGCCACATGGCAACTTACTCTTAATTACCAGTGAAGGGCATTGCTACTTTCTCAAAAAGAACCATAGAATGGAGAAATGATAGCTAAAAACCTGTGATTATAATGCACACATGAAAAAATAGCAAATTCCTAATCTGGTCATATTTGATATTGCCATCTATTTTTAATGTAGAATGCCCACTTAACTTAAAATTAACTTAAAATTTTAATAAAACTCCTTTTTTTATTACATTGTTTTTATTACTAATTGTTTGATAAGACATTTAAATATCCAGAAATGTTCATATTTAAAGTGGGAACATCGAGGATAATGGATATTTAGAAGGAAAACTCAAATATGTATTATGCCTTTTTCATGTAAATAGAACTCTAGATTCATTCATGAGTTTGTAATTCTAGCAGAGAATTAGTATATATGATTTCTAGCCTTTGTGATATAATGGAAATTCACCTACTAGTGGTCAGGTAGGTGGCTCAAGGCCCTGGGCTACCTGTAACTAACTGGTTGTTGACTCTTGGCTCTGCCGGTTTATTTCCGAGCCAAGGTTTCCTTGTCTGTAAATGAAAGAAAGAGAGACTAATAATGATCCATTTTCTTTAACAACTGTTGAGACACTTAAATTAGATTATATTATATGAACTATAAAGTGCCTCACAAATATTAATAGTAGTTATTACTTTGTGCTAGTAAACAATAGAGGCTGTCCAACTCAAACTCTTGTTCTTTCCATGGAAATAGCGCTGTAATGTCACTTCGCACTCGATTATGCCGTACCACGGACCTGCTTTCTGGACTGTTGCCTAGAAGCATGGAAGGTCAACAGGCTGACTTGGGCTATTGATTGTAGAAAATTTTTTCATTGTATTTGGAATGTGAAACTACACTGGGGAAAATTCTGGAGGAGGTGAATAAGAAATAAATTTATTTTTCTTTCAAGGAACTTAAATTCCAAGGATTTTCTAAACCACAGAACTTGATAACCATTGCTGAGGCATTAACTCTCTTCTCCAAATCTCCCAGTAGAGTGATTTCTATGTAACAGACATTCTAAATATTCTAATAATTCCAATTAGTTAATTCAGCACATTTTTATAAAGATGCAAGAAAATCTTTGAAGCACCGCAGAAGTTGAACTGGTGGAAGGTGTTACTAGACAACCGTGTCAGAACATTTGGGCCTTGGCTTTATAGTAACATGTCCTTTTTCTATTTAGTATGTCACACAACTGAACAGAAGCCTCTACCAGCAAGTAAAACCGAAGCCAGAGACAGTGGCATCTCCTTTCCTTGAAAAAACGTCTTTGGGTCAGGCCAAAGCAGAAGTGTATGAGATGCGACCACTTTCACCCACTACCCTCTCTGTGTCCAGAAACCGAAATGAAAAGGAACTGATAGAACTAGAATCTGCCTCAGTCATTGAAGGCTCAGTATATGTTGGAAAAGAGACAAAAGATGAAAAGCAATGGAAAGAGATGAGGAGAAGCTGAACTTTTATAATACACCTTTTAAAATTATCTTTAAAGTTGTGTGAATACATCAGTCATACAGATATAGTTGCTTCTGCAGTGTGACTCTTCTATTTTCTTATGTCAGCAGTGCCTTTAAAAGTCTTTCAAATACATGCATACTGAGTAGACTCAAACAAATGGAGTTTTTGTAATTTGCTAGGCATTTTACAGTGGACATCGATAATGTATCTTAATCTTGTAGGCCTTTATCGTGTTTGGTTCCATGGTACTGTGGGCCACATGGCAACTTACTCTTAATTACCAGTGAAGGGCATTGCTACTTTCTCAAAAAGAACCATAGAATGGAGAAATGATAGCTAAAAACCTGTGATTATAATGCACACATGAAAAAATAGCAAATTCCTAATCTGGTCATATTTGATATTGCCATCTATTTTTAATGTAGAATGCCCACTTAACTTAAAATTAACTTAAAATTTTAATAAAACTCCTTTTTTTATTACATTGTTTTTATTACTAATTGTTTGATAAGACATTTAAATATCCAGAAATGTTCATATTTAAAGTGGGAACATCGAGGATAATGGATATTTAGAAGGAAAACTCAAATATGTATTATGCCTTTTTCATGTAAATAGAACTCTAGATTCATTCATGAGTTTGTAATTCTAGCAGAGAATTAGTATATATGATTTCTAGCCTTTGTGATATAATGGAAATTCACCTACTAGTGGTCAGGTAGGTGGCTCAAGGCCCTGGGCTACCTGTAACTAACTGGTTGTTGACTCTTGGCTCTGCCGGTTTATTTCCGAGCCAAGGTTTCCTTGTCTGTAAATGAAAGAAAGAGAGACTAATAATGATCCATTTTCTTTAACAACTGTTGAGACACTTAAATTAGATTATATTATATGAACTATAAAGTGCCTCACAAATATTAATAGTAGTTATTACTTTGTGCTAGTAAACAATAGAGGCTGTCCAACTCAAACTCTTGTTCTTTCCATGGAAATAGCGCTGTAATGTCACTTCGCACTCGATTATGCCGTACCACGGACCTGCTTTCTGGACTGTTGCCTAGAAGCATGGAAGGTCAACAGGCTGACTTGGGCTATTGATTGTAGAAAATTTTTTCATTGTATTTGGAATGTGAAACTACACTGGGGAAAATTCTGGAGGAGGTGAATAAGAAATAAATTTATTTTTCTTTCAAGGAACTTAAATTCCAAGGATTTTCTAAACCACAGAACTTGATAACCATTGCTGAGGCATTAACTCTCTTCTCCAAATCTCCCAGTAGAGTGATTTCTATGTAACAGACATTCTAAATATTCTAATAATTCCAATTAGTTAATTCAGCACATTTTTATAAAGATGCAAGAAAATCTTTGAAGCACCGCAGAAGTTGAACTGGTGGAAGGTGTTACTAGACAACCGTGTCAGAACATTTGGGCCTTGGCTTTATAGTAACATGTCCTTTTTCTATTTAGTATGTCACACAACTGAACAGAAGCCTCTACCAGCAAGTAAAACCGAAGCCAGAGACAGTGGCATCTCCTTTCCTTGAAAAAACGTCTTTGGGTCAGGCCAAAGCAGAAGTGTATGAGATGCGACCCCTTTCACCCACTACCCTCTCTGTGTCCAGAAACCGAAATGAAAAGGAACTGATAGAACTAGAATCTGCCTCAGTCATTGAAGGCTCAGTATATGTTGGAAAAGAGACAAAAGATGAAAAGCAATGGAAAGAGATGAAGCTACATGTGGACGATTTGCCAGGAATTTTGGCTCGACTGTCCAAAATCAAACTCACAGGTACTGTTTTCCTTGTGTGTAGATCCTTACTTGAAATGTTATTTTTAGTTAAACAAAAGCTGATTTTATTACTGCTCCAAAGGGAATACTTTGAAACTGAAGATCTTTCTTAGCATTTTTTTCTCTTCAATTTGATGGGGATTCAAAATCAAATTTTTGGACTTCTGTTTACACAAACTATAAGTAGCATTGCACTAAATATATTGTACTAAAAATAGGCTCTCTTTTACCTGGAATTAAAGTAGAGTGCATATCCTGCTGCTTTCTCTGTATTTTGTGTTTTTATACCTACCATCCTTTAAAATCACAGTAAGATAGCAAGTCCTCTCTGAGTTCTGAAAAAACAGGGACTGGCCACTGTGCTTGATGCGCGGTGACCCACAGGGGCCACTGGGACTTCCAGCTCACTGCTGTGCTTTGCTTAGTGTAGGGCCTCTGGGATTATCCCAGGTGCACGGGAGTGTACAGTCCTCTGAAAAGAGGTTTGGAAACTTGAGAAGGTAGATTCTTGGTCATCCTGTAGGCTGAAGACCTGGTCTCTTTCTTCTTGGATTAGAGTAAGGAGATGAAATACATGGGTGAATAATAAAATTAAACCAGGTATTCTTTGGGGACAGAAAATGGGAAATAATGTTACTGAGTCAAAACCAGGAAATGAAGGGATGAGACAGGCTTTTGAGAGCAGAGAAAATGAGGGGAGGTTGATGTTTGTTTTTCAAAGGAACTGAGCTAAAAATACAGGGTAAGAGGAGGTAAACCAGGTAGCCTCTTACCTCAGTGACCAATCTCACCTAAATAAATCCTTTTGGGGGGATGACAAATAGACATAGGGAGTTTAACAAAGGGCTGAAGAATCATAGTAAGACATGTAGTGTGACTCTAAGCAATGAGACTAATTCCATGTGGTATCCTTGAAAATAGGTCTCAGCACTTTATGACAGCTGAGCAGGGAACCATCATAAATGTGCAGAAGTTGTTTTTTGTCATTTACACAAGTGGTACCAGTGTTAGGTTGTTGACATGTTCAGAATGACTGCAGATATGAGTAAAAGTATGTCACCCTGGTGAGGCTTCTCTGGCTACAGGCATCAAGAGCAGGAGCGTCTCCCTTCTTGTGCGCCACCTCAGCATGCCCACCCCAGTGTCTGCCTCCCAGTCAGGTTACCTTTCCTCTCATCATCCCATTTGTGTCAGTAATACCAGCATTCTTCACTTCCCGGTGAGAAAGCTTAGAATCATTCTTAATTCTTTGCTCTCATTCTTCCTTTGTCTCGGGCCTAACATCCAGCTATAAATATTGGGGTCTTTTGTAGTGCCTTTGAGATTTCTCGTCCCCGTTTCTGCAGCTGCCTTCCTAGTTGGGGTCCAAAACATATGAGGCCTTTTGTTGTCATAGCAGCTCCTGACTGTTCTGCATTCTCCTGCTGGACTACCTTTCCTAAAACGTTGTTTTCATATATTCCTAATCTACTCAAGAGTCTACATTCCTCCACATTGCCTCCTGCCTCAATTCTGCCTGATCTTAAAGGAATACTGCGATCTGAAATGATGAAAGTCCTCCCCAGAAATAGACTTTTTTCCCTTTCTTCCTTGTCCTCAACCCTGCCCTGTCAGTTAGGCTAGGCCTTCCACCCCACCAGACTCTTTTTTCCTGCCTCTTTCATGTCCAGTTAGATCCTTTCAAGGATACTCCACTAAGTCTGCCCTTGGCCCCAGTCTCCCTTCCCTAAACTCGGAATATGACTTTGAAGTCAAAGCCGACCTGAATTTCAGATCCTGGCCATGACGTATACTAGCCAGTGAGATTTTGGGCAGTTCCTTAGTCTTGCTGAGACAATTTCCTCATCTGTAAGTGGGAAAATTAATAACTCATTTAAGAATTAAATCACCTAGTACATTTAAAGTGCCCAACAATATGCCTGATCCTCAAAGGTTAGCTTCTAAATAGTTACAAGCAAACATTTGATTGTCTTTTTAATGTATGTTTCCTGTAGGATTTGGAGGGCAGCCGTCGTGCCGTCTGCCGATGGAGTACTTCCAGCTCTCAGGGCACTGTGCTTCTCACTTGGCAGGAACTTGCTTTTCTGAGGGAAATTGACAAACTGAGGGCAGCTGCGAGGAAAAGTTGAAGTCCTGTTACTTGGGTGCTGAGATTGTTCCGCTTGGACAACAGGAGGCTGGGGGGAGAAAGATGGTGAAGGAAGGGAGAATGAAGACAGGATGGCCATCTTCAGGTGTCTGTGGCTCTGCTTAGTTGAAAGAACAATGCTGCTGATTTGTAGTTCATGGGGCAGGATGAGGAGATCGCGTGTGCTGACAGTGGCAGATCCCGTCAGTGGGAGGGAGCTTTCTTAGCAGAGCGATCCGTATGTGTAGTGGGCTGCCTCGCAGGGCGGCGGTCCTTGTCATTGGCACCATCCAGGTGGAAGCACATCACCTTCAAGAGAAGCTGAGAAGTGGTCCTGCATTGTGTAGTGGTTGCAGCTAGATCATACCCATTAAGTCACCTTTTAATGATAAGGCTGTCTGCCTTCAGTATTTATTGGGTGTCTAACATGCACCCCGTTGCTTTAGATGCTGGAGATACAGACTAACACACAGGATTTCTGTCCTCAAGAGGTTGATAGTGGGGAGATTTTGTACGTACCCAAATATACAAAAAGAAGGCAGGTGTGGTCAGATACATCTGTGTTTCAAACCCAGAGCGCTTTCTTAGTAACTGTGTTATATTGGGCAATTTATTTACCGTTAGAGTGCCATAGTTTCTTTACCTGAGAAACAAACAATGGTGCTTACTTGACAGCATCATCGTGAGGATTGAATGACTAATCAGTGTGAAACGCCTGTGTGCCCAGCACCTCATAGGTACTTATTAGCTATAGTTAATACTATTATTACTATATGCATCATTAGGGAAATTAATGTTACAGGTGTTACAGCACATGTGTGCGTATGGCAGAGTGGCCACCCGGAGAGGGGCTTGCTGTTTCTTCCTGGGGGGGATTGCGGTGAGTGAGGATTTACTAAGCAGAGAAGGCAAGGATTGTGAGCAGAGGGAGAAGCCTGTGCAAAGGTAGAGAAGCTCAGAAAAACTTAAGGATGCTCTGAGTAATGCAGTGTGATTGGGGTCATGGAGAAGAGATGCTGGCTGAGAAGAGTCAGGTGGGGCCATGTTGGCACATTGACAAGTATTTCTTGTTGAAGAGTTTGACTCTTATGCCCCAGCAGTGGAAAGTCCAGGAAAGTTTTTAGAGGGACATAATCACCTTGAGTTTGTCTTAATTACCCTTTTAAGTGGCTTGAAATGACTACTGAATTAGTATAAACTTATTGCAAAACTGTTCAAATTATAGGGAAGCACGTACCTTAAACTGAAAAAGTACCTTTCCCTCTATTTTAAGTAAACCCCTGCTTGAAATGTAGCCTTCTGTGTATGTATAAATATGCAGCATGAAGATAAAGATATGATTATACATTTTAATAGAAATAGGATCACACATACACACACATGTACAACACAAGTAGTAGCGAACTCCAACTTGCTATTTTCTCTGAACAATATAGCTCTCACTGGCAATGTTTACTTTACTATATACAATCCGTTATATGGAACTGCCATAATTTACTTAACAAACCCTCTACAGGTAAACGTTTAAGGTGTTTCCAGTTTGCTGTTCAAAACAATTCTGTGGTTACTTTCATGTACATAAGTCTCTGTGTACTTATGTGAGTTATCTGTAGAGTAAGTGTTTAGAAATGTAATTGCTAGCTTTGAAAATTTTAATTTTGATATTTGACTAGTTTGTTCCTTAAAAAAGATAATTTACAATCCTTCCACTAGCATGTGGGAATCTGATTCCCTCTGTTCTTTGTGCTCATGCAGAGGCAGTCTACCAGTTTTGTCTATTTGATAACTGAAAAAGATTTTTATGTATATTTTCATTTTTAAAGTTTTGGTGGGATTTAGCATCTTTTTCTCTGTTTTGATCATTTGTATTTTTCCTTCTATTCTTTACCTCTTATATCCTTGGTCATTTGTTAATGATTTTTTTAGAGCTCTTTATAAAGAAAGTTAGCATTTCATCTGTCGTACACATTTAAAATGTTTTTTTTTTTCATTTCGCTTTTTCTTTTTACTTTGTGATGTTAATTTTGTTATTTTATTTGACCCCACTGAGATGTTCAAATTTATTAGGTTTCTTTTTTTTTTTATGCTTCAATTTTCACAACCCTATGTTTATAAAAATAATTCACTCAAGTTTTTTTCTGGTGCTTTTATATTTTTATCATATTCTCTAACGTTTGGGACTACGTCAAATATATTTAAGCATAAGGACCAGGATTGATTGAGAAAACTGATGGTAGTATTGTTGAGCAAGATTTACCTGTTTTTGTAAATAAAGTTTTATGGGAACACAGCCGCATCCATTTCTGTGTTGACATCATGCTACATCTGCAGGGCTGAGTAATTGCAACAGAAAACTGGAAAGCCTGAAGTATTACCTGTCTGGCCCTTTAGAGAAAAAGTGCTGATCCTGGCTGTAGAGCATAGATTAGTGGGAGGCAAGGATGATGACCAACAGGTCAGTAGTAGGCAGTTGAGAAATGGCTTGGGGCTGAACTAAGGCTCTGTTGGGGAAGGGAGAAAGGAGAGAGAGAGAAATATTGAGGGAATAAAATGAATAGAACCATAGGCAGATATGGTAGAGTACTGAGGAGGCATAAAATAAAAGGTCTAGGATGTGAAGTTGCAAAGGTTTGGCTACCGTGAGATGAAGCAGACATTCTCCAGTCCTCCAGTCCCTATGTTCTGTGCTATCCTACAGCTGGCCCAGTTCTCTGGAAGAACATAGTGTAGTGACCTCAAGTCCTGGCTTTTCCTAGTGGAGTGGTGACCTTGAGCAAGTGCCATAATCTCTCTTTTCCTTAGTTTACCCATCTATAAACCAGGGATAACACTACCTACTCCATAGAGTTGTTCTGAGTATTAAATGAGATAA